TGCAGAGAGCTGGGACAACATAACAAAGGCAACCATCAGTAACACACTACGCCGCCAGGGACTCAGATCCTGCAGTGCCAGACGTGTCCCCCTGCTTAAGCCAGTACATGTCCGGGCCCGTCTGAAGTTTGCTAGAGAGCATTTAGATGATCCAGAAGAGGATTGGGAGAATGTCCTATGGTCAGATGAAACCAAAGTAGAACTGTTTGGTAGAAACACAACTCGTCGTGTTTGGAGGAGAGAGAATGCTGAGTTGCATCCAAAGAACATCATACCTACTGTGAAGCATGGGGGTGGCAACATCATGCTTTGGGGCTGTTTCTCTGCAAAGGGACCAGGATGACTGATCCGTGTACAGGAAAGAACGAATGGGGCCATGTATTGTGAGATTTTGAGTGCAAACCTCCTTCCATCAGCAAGGGCATTGAAGATGAAATGTGGCATGACAATGATCCCAAACACACCGCCCGGGCAACGAAGGAGTGGCTTCGTAAGAAGCATTTCAAGGTCCTGGAGTGGCCTAGCCAGTCTCCAGTTCTCAACCCCATAGAAAACCTTTGGAGGGAGTTGAAAGTCCGTGTTGCCCAGTAACAGCCCCGAAACATCACTGCTCTAGAGGAGATCTGCATGGAGGAATGGGCCAACATACAGCAACAGTGTGTGCCAACCTTGTGAAGACTTACAGAAAACGTTTGACCTCTGTCATTGCCAACAAAGGATATATAACAAAGTATTGAGATAAACTTTTGATATTGACCACATATTTATTTTCCACCATAATTTGCAAATAAATTCTTTCCAAATCAGACAATGTGATTGTCTGGATTTGTTTTCTCATTTTGTCTCTCATAGTTGAGGTCTACTATGATGACAATTACAGGCTTCTCTTATCTTTTTAAGTAGGAGAACTTGCACAATTGGTGGCTGACTAAATACTTTTTTGCCCCACTGTATGTATGAGTAAGATTTTTCATAAGAGCTTGGTGGATCACAGCATAGATCTACAGAATATAGGCAATTATTCTGCGGCCAGCCAGATTGGAAAAAGCCTGAACTAGAGAGTGAAGACCCATTTAAACCTATGTTTTCCTGCAACTAGTATTAAAGACATACTGATTAGGATTTAAGAAGTAATTCACATACATAGTATTGTAAGTCCTATTTGCTTGATCCTCCATGACTCTGCCCAGACCCTTTTTAAAGTAAACCAAATTGCTATTATCATGACTGGTGGCAGTGAATTTTGCTATTTTATTTTATAAAAGAGTATTTCCTTCTGTCCCCCTTTATGGATTACTGCCTTGTCGTGGCGAAGGGGCTTGCGTAACTCAATGAAGCTATAAGCTATGCCGTGCAGGGCCACCCAAGATGGACAGGTTATAGCAGAGAGTTCTGACAAAATGTGATCCACTGGAGAAGGAAATGGCAAACCACTCCAGTATCTTTGCCATGAAAACCCCATGGACAGTACTAAAAGGCAAAAAGATATGACGCTGGAAGATGAGCCCCTCAGGTCGGAAGGTGTCCAATATGCTACTGGGGAAGAGCAGAGGACTAGTACTAGTAGCGCCAGAAAGAATGAAGCGACTGGGCCAAAGCCGAAAGGACGCTCAGCTGTGGATATATCTGGTGGTGAAAGGAAAGTCCGATGCTGTAAAGATTTTTTCTCCATAGGAACCTGGAATGTAAGATCCATGAATCAAGGCAAGCTAGACGTAGTCAAAAAAGAGATGACAAGACTGAACATCGACATCTTAGGAATCAGCGAACTAAAATGGACAGGAATGGGTGAATTTAACTCAGATGACCATCAGGTATACTACTGTGGGCAAGAATCCCTCAGAAGAAATGGAGTAGCCTTCATAGTCAATAAAAGAATAGGAAAAGCAATACTGGGATACAATCCCCAAAATGACAGAATGATCTCAATTCGAATCCAAGGCAAACCATTCAATATCACAGTAGTCCAAATCTATGCCCCAACCACTGGTGCTGAAGAGGATGAAATTGACCGGTTCTATGAAGCCCTACAGCACCTTATAGAATTAACACCAAAAATGATGTCCTTATCATCATGGGGGATTGGAATGCTAAGGTAGGAAGCCAAAAGATAACCGGAATAACAGGCAAGTTTGGCCTTGGAGTACAAAATGAAGCAGGGCACAGGCTGATAGAATTTTGTCAAGAGAATACGATGGTCATAACAAACACTCTTTTCCAACAACCCAAGAGACGGCTCTACACATGGACATCACCAGACGGTCAACATAGAAATCAGATTGACTATGTGCTCTGCAGCCAAAGATGGAGAAGCTCTATACAGTCAGTAAAAACAAGACCAGGAGCTGACTGTGGCTCAGATCATGAGCTTCTCATTGCAAAATTTAGGCTTAAATTGAAAAAAGTAGGGAAAAGCACTAGGCCACTCAGGTATGAACTAAATCATATTCCTGATGAATATACAGTAGAGGTGACAAATAGATTTAAGGAATTAGATCTGATAGACAGAGTGCCTGAAGAACTATGGATGGAAGTTCGCAACATTGTACAAGAGGTAGCAACTAAAACCATCCCAAAGAAAAAGAAATGCAAGAAAGCAAAATGGCTATCTGAGGAAGCTTTGCAAATAGCTGAGGAAAGAAGGGAAGTGAAAGGCAAAGGAGAAAGAGAAAGATACACCCAATTGAATGCAGAATTCCAGAGAATAGCTAGAAGAGATAAGAATGCCTTCTTAAATGAACAGTGCAAAGAAATAGAAGAAAACAACAGAATAGGGAGGACCAGAGATCTCTTCAAGAAAATTGGAGATATGAAGGGAACGTTTCATGCAAAGATGGGCATGATAAAGGACCAAAATGGCAGAGACCTAACAGAGGCAGAAGAGATTAAGAATAGATGGCAAAACTACACAGAAGAACTATACAAGAATGAGCTTAACATCCCAGATAACCACAATGAGATGGTCACTGACCTCGAACCAGACATCCTCCTAGAATGTGAAGTGAAATGGGCCTTAGAAAATCTGAGCAACAACAAAGCTAGTGGAGGTGACAGTATTCCAGCTGAGCTATTCAAAATCTTAAAAGACGATGCAGTAAAAGTGCTACACTCAATTTGCCAGCAAATTTGGAAAACTCAACAGTGGCCACAGGATTGGAAAAGGTCAGTTTACATTCCAATTCCAAAGAAAGGCAATGCCAAAGAATGTTCTAACTATCGCACCATTGCACTCATTTCACATGCTAGTAAAGTTATGCTTAAAATCCTACAAGCTAGACTCCAGCAGTATGTAGATCGAGAACTACCAGAAGTACAGGCAGGATTTCGAAGAGGCAGAGAACTAGAGATCAAATTGCCAACATACGCTGGATCATGGAGAAAGCTAGGGAGTTCCAGAAAAACATCTACTTCTGCTTCATTGACTATGCAAAAGCCTTTGATTGTGTGGATCACAACAAATTGTGGCAAGTTCTTAAAGAGATGGGAGTACCAGACCATCTCATTTGTCTCTTGAGAAACCTATACGCGGGTCAAGAAGCAACAGTGAGAACTGGACACGGAACCACTGATTGGTTCAAAATTGGAAAAGGAGTCCGGCAAGGCTGTATACTGTCGCCCTGCCTATTTAACTTATATGCAGAGCACATCATGAGAAAGGCAGAGCTAGATGAATCAAAAGTTGGAATTAAGATTGCCGGGAGAAATATCAACAACCTAAGATATGCAGATGATACCACTCTAATGGCAGAAAGTGAAGAGGAACTAAAGAGCCTCTTGATGCGGGTGAAGAAGGAGAGTGCAAAAGTTGGCTTGAAACTCAACATTAAGAAAACCAAAATCATGGCATCCGGCCCTCTCAATTCCTGGCAAATAGATGGGGAAGAAATGGAGGTAGTGACAGATTTTATTTCTCTGGGCTCAAAGATCACCTCAGATGGGGACTGCAGCCAAGAAATTAAAAGACACTTGCTCCTGGGGAGGAAAGCTATGGCAAATCTAGACAGCATACTAAAAAGCAGAGACATCACCCTGCCAACAAAAGTGCGTATAGTCCAGGCCATGGTTTTCCCAGTTGCAATGTATGGCTGTGAAAGTTGGACCATAAGAAAGGCTGAGCGCAAAAGAATTGAGGCCTTTGAACTATGGTGCTGGAGAAGACTCCTGCGAGTCCCTTGGACTGCAAGGCGTTCAAACCGGTCAGTCCTAGAAGAGATCAACCCTGACTGCTCTTTAGAAGGCCAGATCCTGAAGTTGAAACTCAAATACTTTGGCCACCTAATGAGAAGGAAGGACTCACTGGAGAAGGGCCTAATGCTGGGAAAGATTGAGGGCAATAGAAGAAGGGGACGACAGAGAATGAGATGGCTGGATGGAGTCACTGAAGCAGTAGGTGTGAACTTAAATGGACTCCAGAAGATGGTAGAGGACAGGAAGACCTGGAGGAACGTTGTCCATGGGGTCGCGATGGGTCGGACACGACTTCGCAATTAACAACAAAATTTCCTTCTGTCAGTTCTAAATCTGTCCTCATTTGTTTTCAGTTGTTAACCTCAAGTTATAACACTGTAAGAGTGGAAGAAAGACAACTTTCTCTCAATATTATGCATGGTGGTATATCTCAATGTTATTTTCTTTTTTCTTCAGTCCAATCTGAAGAGCCACAATTGGTTGATCTCTCCTGATAGGATAGATATTCTGGTTCTCTAGTCTTCTTGATTGTGCTTTTTAGCTGTTTTACAACTGTAATAAATTCTTAAGTACGGTGACCAGAACTATGTACAATATTTCAAGGTGTCTTACTATAGTTTTGTATAAGGTAATTTCATGAAAAAGAGTTCTTTAGTCCTAGCAAGATAGCTTTATTCCTCAAAGATTATTGGGTCCTACAATGTACCATTTGAATAATAGTTTCTTCATTCAGCTTTGCTAATTTATATTATGTACTCATATCCCTTGGTGTTATAAGCTATTTTTAAAGTCTTGTCAATTGTCTTTCACAGAATGTGATCCAATAGAAGCTATAGCTAAATTTGACTATGTTGGAAGATCTGCACGAGAACTCTCTTTTAAGAAAGGAGCCTCACTACTTTTATATCATCGAGCTTCTGATGATTGGTGGGAAGGAAGACATAACGGAATTGATGGCCTTGTACCCCACCAATACATAGTGGTTCAAGATATGTAAGAAACAGCTAATTGTATTGTAATTCTAGAGGTACTCTTTTCAAACCAGCATTTTCCACTGGTGGGAGAAGATCTACAGATTCTAAATTCCAAAATACAGGATATCAGAAATATTTACAGTTCAACTGTTGCAAGTGCAGCTAAGGATTACTCTCTCCCAGCCATTCTGTCATAAATATAAGATAATATATTTCCTGTTCTGTAATTTTAATTTTAGTTAGTTTGCTGTCCCTTAACATCAGCCTTCCTATAAGGCTAATTTGAAGTTATAACTTATTTACTCAACAATTAATAAACAATTGTATTATTTTGAATTTAATCATCATTTAGGCAGGCATCTAAAATGAAGGCTGTATCTAGAAACTAATTATTGATTTGAAAACTGCTCTAGCCAGAGATTGCTAATAGCCATGTATTGGTCAATGTTTGATTATGCATGTAACAAATGCCTCTGAAAACAGTAACTATAACAATGGCAACTACAACAAACTACAATCACTGGAAAATGACACAAACACAAAGATGTCATCATACAAATACTGCCATGATGTATCCTAATCTCTGATGCAAGTATGCATGTCACAGTATTTGTATGATAACATCACTATATAAGTGTATCTTCGGCTCCCGTTGTTTCTCCTTGCAAAACAGTTGTTAGTGACGAGAATATAGATGGAAATAAAGGGATATAAAAACCGGGACTGAAAAAAAAAGATACTTCTCTTGTTTTAAAGTTATATACCCTAATTTTGCAAAATAAGTTTGTTTTTTTTAATGTTTAGGGATGATACATTCTCGGATACACTGAGCCAAAAAGCAGATAGTGAAACCAGCAGTGGGCCAATACTTGAAGACAAATCTTATCCCAAAGATATGAGTTCATCAACAGATTTGAATTCTGAAGTATATCTAGGAAGGTAAATATAATCAATTATTTGTCATTAATTGAATCTGTTTCATTTATATTGCACTTCAAAATATTAAAACCTATTTTTCCTCACATATAGTAGTCGCTAATGCCTGTAATATATATCATTTTTGTTACACATAGAACTTGGAAATTAAGTAATAATGACTAGTCATGTATAAGATAATATTTGAAAGGGCAACTTTCTGAGTTCAAATTCTGAATTTAAATCATCATGCTGCAGCATCATTGCCAGGTGTGGGAGGGTTTTGAAAAAATTATTTATGCATTCTTTATTTTGTCTTCTGAAATTTCCTTTTGCCTTGCAGGCAGCGCAAGAGATCTGAAATCCCACTTTCTGGCAGACGTCCTGGCAGGACCAGTGATGGACACTGTCCAGTTCATACACCACATGGCCCTACTAATTCCTCAGTGGAATTAGTTTCCTCCAGTATGGCAAGCCATGCTACTTCTCGAACTGTCCTTCAGAACCACGGCCTCATAACAGATAGCCCAGAAAGGAGACGGAAACCTGGCCACAGCAGCCTCACCAATATTAGTAGACATGAATCTCTGAAAAAAAGTGACAGCCCTCCAATTAGAAGATCAACCTCATCTGGCCAGTATCCTGTTTTCAATGACCACAAACCACTTGACCCAGAGTCAATTGTTCAGGTATATATTGTTAACATACAAACAATTGGGGGAGGTGAATTGTTATCAGGCAATATATCTCTTTTCATCATCATAAATCCCTTCAGATATGTTGGGGTGAAAATCCCCTAATTGGGTGGTGGGAGGGTAGAGCAGGTATGTTGATTAGGAGTTCTAAGAGTTGAAATTCCAGCACATCCAGAGGATGCCAAGTTAGGGAAGGCTGCATTATATTATCAGCATTTTGTAAATAGGTTTGAGTGAATAGTTCCTTCCTTTTAAAATCAACCTTCATAAGTAAAGAACAAGCAGTCAAGAAATTCATTGCACTCAAGCATTTGGTAGGGGAGTCGTAAAGGCCTTGGAAAAGATATTCAAATACCGTTATATGTCTATACCTATAAAGATCAGAACGGCAAGCCATGGTATTCTCTGGGATACTATGAAAGTGAAAGTTGGACTTTAAACAAGTAGAGTAGGAAGAATGTTGACTCCCTTGGTGTTAGAGAAGACTCCTGAGAATACTGTGGACACCTAAGAAAACAAGCTGATGCATCATTGAACAAATCATCTCAAAAGTTCTCATTTGAGGTCTTTATATAACTGCTTCTAATGTAAAATTGTATAAAAATAATTATGAAATGTTATGGTTTAAAATACAGAAGGATTTGAATGATTGGAAAAAATTGCAATTATCTTTGTTAGGGAGAATTGCTGCAGTTAAAATGAATGTTCTGCCAAAATTCCTTTTTTTTGTTTCAAATCATACCTATTTTAAAGAAAGAGTCAAATTTAGAAGAATGGCAGAAGGGTATCAATAAATTCATTTGGGCGGGGAAAAAACCAAGAGTAAAGCTTAAAATTATACAAGATGTTCGAGAGAGAGGTGGACTCAAGGTGCCGAATTTGAAATTGTATTATGATGCGGTGGTTTTAACATTGATTAGTGATTGGATCAACTTAACAAATTTAAATACACTTTTTTTGGAAGGATGGGATCTATTATTTGGATGGCACGCGTATTTAATTTATAATAAAAAGGTGGATAGGGTTTTTAAGTCCCATATCTTAAGAATTGCTTTATTGCGTGTTTGAAGAAATATTATAGATCAGATTCTAGAATACCGTTGTGAGGATTTCCAGGGCATGCAATAGAAGGGATAAGGAAAGGAGTGAAAATGGATAGTATTTCTTATAAACAATTGCTTAATTGGGATGGGAATAATTGGCAATTAAAATCTATGGACGAATTAGCGCAAGAAAATATTAATTATTCTTGGTTCCAGTATAGGCAATTATTAGAAAGGTGGAGAATAGATCAAAAAGTGGGTTTTATCAGGGAGGATACGAATTTGATGAAACAAATTAAAGATCAAAGTCAAACTCATATAAAAAGAGTTTATAGTGTTTTGGTGGAACTGGATTCAGAAACAGAATTAGTTAAAGATTGTATGGTTAAATGGGCTCAAAATTTTGATGAGCCGATTTTATTAGATACATGGGAGATAATCTGGGTGAGGAATGTCAAATTTACTCAAGCTCAAAATCTACGAGAAAATTTTTATAAAATGTTTTACAAGTGGCACCTTGATCCACAAAAGATGTCTCGTATGTATCCAAATGTGCAGCCTAAATGTTGGAGATGTGGTTGTTTGGATGCAACATACTATCATATTTGGTGGTCATGTAGAAATATAAAGGCTTTTTGGATTAAGATTTGGTGGATTATTCAGAAGATTTTTAATAGAAGGATAAAATTTACACCACAATTGTTTTTGTTAGGTATTATTGTTGATTGTGATGATAAAGAAATTATTTTAATGTTGAATTTAATTACCGCGGCAAGGTTGCTGATTGGGCAATATTGGAAGAAGGACTCTTTGCCTACTTTAGAAGAATGGTTTCTTAAAGTTTCTTATTTATCTGAAATGGCAAAAATTTTGGCTTATTTGAAAGACCAATCGCAAGAGAAATATATTTTGGTGTGGAAAAGATGGGTGAATTTTATACAGAATAAATATGAGATTAGAAAGTATTACTTAGCTTTTGAATAACCTATGTTTAAGGGTAATGGTTAGAATCTCTGTTTTTATGTACTGGAGTTAAAGTATTTAAAATTTTGTTTTTTGGATGTAAGTATAATTGCTTGATGTTCATTTAAGCTATATGTTTTTTGTTCTTTTTAACCCTGTATTCAGCTCTGGGAAGGAGGGGGGAGGGTGAGGGGGGTGGGAGGAGGGGAGTATTTTATTGTAAAACTTTAAAAATTTTCAATTAAAAAAAAAAGTTCTCATTTGAGGTCCAAATGACCAGGGTCTAAATTATCCTGTTTTGGACAAATTATGCAAAGAGTCAGCTCTCTGGAAAGTGTTCTATTGCTGGGAAAGGTGGAACAAAAGAGAAGAGGACAACCAGCAGCAAGATGGATGTACTCAGTTACAGTAACGATGAGTGCACCATTGGGAGACTTGAAAAGACAAGTTAGGGATAGATTGTCACAAACAAAATCTATCTGTGTGGTTGCTAGAAGTTGAAAATGACTTGATGGCATATAATAAACCATTCTCTAGCAACTGTTCAGCTTCTCTGAATTGTAGCTTAGTTCTGAATTTCTTGTCCATATTTGTATAGCTGCATTACTATTTGCTAAGATCTTTTAATTGCCATTAATGGCAGGTTTGAAAATAAATAGAGAAAAGACTAAAGTATTAACAAATAACTTAACAGACAAGCAGAAAACTCAACTTACAAAAAAGACAAACTTACAAACAGTTAAGAAAGTTAAGTATTTAGGAATCTATTTAACAGCAAGATGTATAACATTAAAAGAAAACAACTATGAAAGATTGTTGAAACAAATAAAATTGGACTTGGAAAAGTGGAAAAATCTTCAATTGTCATTGTTGGGAAGAATAGCCACAGTGAAAATGAATATTTTACCAAAAGTACTCTTCCTATTTCAAATGATTCCTGTAAAATTGGTAAAAGTCTTTTTTGATGACTTAAATGCAACAATTTTGAGATTTATTTGGCAAGAGAAGAAAGCACAAGTTAAAGTGAAAATGCTACAAGAAGCTAAAGATAGTGGAGGATTTGGACTCCCAGACTGGAGGCTATATTACCAAGCAGTCATCTTGCCATGGCTTAAAGAATAGATAACGCTGAGAAATAAAAGACTATTGTACCTAGAGGGGCATGGCCTACAAATTGGTTGGCATGCCTTCCTATGGTACGGGAAAAATAAAACATAGAGATACTTTCAAAACCATTTTATAAGGAATGTACTTCTTCTAGAATGGGAAAGAATAAATCAGAAAATTTATATTAAACTACCTGAATGGCTTTCAACAATGGAAGCTTTTGCTTACCCAAATTTAATTAACTATGACAAAGTTGTTACTTATAAAGATATTTTGGACAATGAAGGAAAATTGAAAGACAAAATTTACAATGACTAGGTTTTGACTTAGCATGGTGGCCATATCCAAACGAGATATGGAAAAGATGCAAAGACAACGGGATTTTATAAAGAACAGACAGAATTTGATCAAATATTGTTAAAAACAGACTATTTGCTAAGATCTTTTAATTGCCATTCATTGATTGCCATTTTTATTATATAAAAATATGTCATTAGTGCCTAAATTTTATTCAAGTATTCCATAAATGTCTGTAAGAAAACTCTTTTTTGGTACAAAATTCAGCTTTTAATATTGTGCTCTCAATATTTTGCTGTTACAGCAAGTACGGTTCTGATCCAAATTGTACATATAATGCTTTGCAGAAAATCATTGTACAATTGTGTTAGCTCCAATTGTTCTCCAATGTTGACTTTAGTTTATGCACATGCATGCATATTCGTGCCTTCTTACATAAGTTTTGAAAATGCTTTTATAATGTCAGTCTTTTAAATTTGAAAAGCTGTCCCTATCTCATCCTTCCCAAATATAACACTAAAGATAAAGCTGAGATAAAGGTCCTCAGACTTTTACTTTGATCAAAGCATCAGTATTGTATTTCATCCAGTCAGGAATCACCTGGTAGTACCTTGCTGTGAGTAAACAGTGCTAAACCTGTTTTCAGTTTAATTCACAAAGCCAATTTTAAATAAAATGAAATAAATATATCCTTCTTCCTTTGTCTTCCATGAACATTTATCTGTTCTCTTTCTCAGTTAAGCTTTTTAACTGTCTGCTTGGGGTGTCCTTTCTTCTTCTTTCAGTTCTCTTTCCTTTCAGAATCATTATCACTTGAATTGAATGCAATTCAATACAATTGAATTGTATTTTGTATATGATCTGTATGGATAATTCAAGGTACACACACATTTATGCAAATGCAAATCAAGGATTTACATGTATCTCTGTTGCTTCATATAAAAGTAAAGAATATTTACAAAGCTTGAATTTCCTATTTCTATAGTAATTGTCAACATATTTGTTTTTCCCTTATAATAGGATATTGAAGAAACAATGAATACGGCTCTAAATGAACTTCGGGAACTGGAACGCCAGAGTTCTGCAAAACATGCTCCAGATGTTGTCCTTGATACCTTAGAACAAATGAAGAATTCTCCCACCAACACGACCTCAACAGAATCTTTGAGTCCTCTTCACAATATCATTTTAAGAAATGCCGAGCCTCAGATTCGCCGTAGCACTAGTTCTTCCAGTGATACTATGAGTACCTTCAAGCCAATGGTGACACCAAGAATGGGCGTGCAGCTGAAGCCACCTGCACTGAGACCAAAGCCAGTAGTTCTTCCAAAAACAAACCCAAGCATAGGCCCCTCTTCTCCTTCCCAAGGCCCAGCTGACAAGTCTTGCACGATGTAGAACCCAAGAAACCAAATGCGGAGTGAACTACCAAAAGAATGTATCCATGATAGTTGTCTGAATTCCAGTATATTATTATATATTTAGGAAAGGAGAGATTCATTTTTTAAATGTTAAAGTCTCAAGCTATCTACTTTAGCATGGGTATTTATTAGAAGTTGGGTTCAATTTTTAAACTGGAGCATTCGGTGTCTACATTTGCAATATATGCTTAATACAGTTAAAGACTCAGTGAGTGCATTTTTACAGCATGCTGAGCTTGATTAGATTGGGTTGGGGGGTGTAGTTTAGCAGAGGGCTTTTCAACCTTTTCACCCATTCTACCACTTTTAGGATATGGTAATATCCGAGTACCACCAGCCACCTAGCAAGGTGTCAAAAACATGATGACCAAAAAAAAAAGAAAAGAAAAAGTGAGTAGTACAGATAGTCCTCAACTTACAACAGTTTGCTTAGTGACTATTCGAAGTTACAATGGCACTGAAAAAAGTGCCCCCCAAGCCACAGCTGAGCAAGACGCCTGCCTGCCCACCCGCTGCGCTCTTCCTCCTGTTGGAGGTTTTCATTGTTGTGAGCATTTCTGTTGAGGATTGGTAGTGGGGATGGGGTAGGGTGGGTGTTTGGTTTTTATTCCCTCCGTCTGCTGGGTGGTTGCAGCAGGTTTTGGTCACTTCACATGACCCTGGGACACTGTGACCATCATAAATATGAATCAGTTGCCAAGCATCTGAATGTAAATCACAAGACCCTGGAGAGGCTGCAATATTCCAGCTGATTGGTGCTTCTTGGCTTAGCAGAAGCGCCAGGATCAGCACCAAGCTACAGCTGGAGCCTGGCGCTGATCCTGGCGCTTCCACTGAGCCCTGACAGCCCTGCAGCTCCAGCCATCTCTTGCTCAGGCTTGTGCAGTGCTGCCACCGGTTCAGCTCATTCCCCTCCCCCGCTACCACTTTTCTAGGATGGTCGCGTACCACCTGCGAGGTGCCAATGTACCACAGGTGGTACCCGTACCACTGGTTGAAAAGCCCTGGTTTAGCATATTGCACAAACCCAGCCTATTTGGTTAGTTTATGATCCAGTGTATCACAGAAAGGCAGTAAATTACATGTGTTGTGTATGCCATTTTAAAGCAGCAGGAATACACACATTTACTTGAAATCTCCACACTGCACCTTTTCTGTTGAAAACACCACAACCACTGTCAACATCACACTAATTTAACAATGTATACGTGACTGTAGTTTAAGACTTCACAAAGAATTATGGTTATTTAAAATGAGTATGTTAAGAAATAGGGCTTATTTTTAGTGCTGCCTGGTTCCAGTTCATTTTTCAGAAGGTCTGAGGCTATGTCTTAACAATTACTAAGCAGCCTGTCAAAGTTAATGCAGAAAGGAGACTCACCTTGACATTGCCTTGTGTAGTATCTATTCAGTATGCATGTGACAGTCCTAGTGCAGCTCACAGGATATGAGGAATTAAATTGCTTCTAGGAAACAGCAGTTTTTTAAACCAGTGAAAGTCTATGGTCAGAATAACAATTGTGGTCTTCCTCTGGTTGATATCCAGTGGACACCTTCACCAGGCTGACCAGGAATACTGAGAATTGTGTTGAAGGACTCTGTATTGAAGAAAGCCATTCAGTGGGTTGTTTCTAATGCCTCCATTCAGGCCTATTGCAGTGCAATAAAACTAGACATTAGCTACTGAATCTTTCATATAACTCTGTTACCAATTCAGCTCAAAAACGGTTTACATTCCTAAGAGCCACTTGTCTGGACAAGTTTTAATTAATAATCTGTAGAAAAACATTCCAGGACAGCTGCAAACTAAATGAGTAAATTGTTAATAGTTTAAAGCTTTAAAATTATGAAACACAGTGCATACAGATGAATTCTGGGGTTTTTTTTGTTAGTTTATTTAAATTGAATTATCTCTTTTTCAACTGGAATAGCTCCTTCAATTAAGGCAAGAGTTTATTCACAAGGCAAAACATGATTTTCTACTGTTCTACAATCTGAATAAAATGTGTCAGAACTATTTTTTTCTAATTATGCATCTTTTTCATGTGTGAGTGAACTCTTTGAACTTGCATAGTGCTACATCATTAGAAACTTTTCTGTTATATGTGACCTGTCTCGACAACTCTTGCACAAACTGATACCAAGCCATGTCCTTTCTCTGAATGTTTTATAGCTTACCTTTGCACTCTAAAGGAGATTTTATTGTTTATCATTAATTAAAAATAACAAAAAATTAAATACACAGTCTAGGGAAATGTGGGATAGGGGAAGAGTCAGTTTATATCCACTGACACATATAAAATTGAAACCAAATACTTACTTTCACATAGCTCTTGTCCCAATAGAAACTTGTAGTTCTTCCATTTGAACATTTTTCTTACATTATATGAAATTCCAAAATGTAGAAGACTAGCTAACACGTGAAAACATTATTGCATAACATTTGAAACGCATTGTTCCCTGCTACTAAGTGAAGTTGACTCATTTTGTTAAGTGATTATAAATGCTAAAACTCATGAAATTATGTTTAGCTAAGAAGTTCACAAAAGTTGCTCTTTCCTAATGTATTGAAAATCAGCTGCTCAGTACTTATTTCTGATTTAAAGTAAAACTGTTAAGCATTATATTTTGTAAAGCTTGCAGGCCCACTTTGGGGGGGACCAATTTTTGTGTGCCCCAGATGACATAGTTAATAGCTATTTAGCAATTATTTTTAGAAATTAATGATATTCATTAATATGAGACAAAGAATTCACTTAGGCATATTCAGCTATGGTATGCTGAATTATATTTTTGGCCCTCAATGGACTGAAACAATAGAACTTTCATATTTATCAGTGGGGTCACCAAAATGAACAACGACATGTCTCTACCCTAGAAACTACACACTCAGTATTGAGGCTTCAGCTAATATAAAATTTGTGTAACGTGACAGTGACCCGTGTAAAGTTGAGAATTGTTTGCTTAAGTAAACCAAATCTGAGATATGTGGGACAAACTTGAAAATGTCAGCTTTCTTTTAAGTGCATTCTAGCCTATTGATTGTTGTTATTAACAGACCATATGGCGTAACCAAGGAAAGGGCCTGTATCTTGAAAGTGCATAAGGAAATTCTGTATGTCTGAATATAACTGTACTGGCTTCCATACTGCTTATATTAGAAATTGTTTAGTGGAGAAAAATATTAGGAACAGTGAGTTTAGTGAATGTTTCTAGTTAGAGCATTCACTTGAGTTAAAATGTATGTAGTTTGATGGTATGTTGTAGCTACTTCAAGTATAGTGAGTGGATATATATAAAAGGAAACATGGATACAATTACAGGCATAGTGAAAGCTAAAAGCCTCTGTACTAATCAAGTCAGTATTGTCCTTGACTGTCAAGTTAGATTGCAGTGCTGGTAGCTTCCTGCTTGTTGACTGTTACCTAATTGTGTCAATGTACATCTGTAAGTATGTACATGTGGAAGTGCCTTTACATTTTTAGAGAAGTTGCTTTGGCTTAACTTCTTGTACTATTGCATTTTCATTTCCATGTTCTGTTGCTTTTGTTCTGCCGTGTTCCCATATTATTTCCATTGTGAAGGGGAAAAAAGGAAATAACAATTGCACAGTCCTGGAAGAAAAGAAGAAGAAAATGTACTGTTAAGCCGTTGTGACAATGCACTTTGATGTATAGTACTGTACATTTTGGCATGTACCATATACTTTGAAAATTGTTTCTCACAATGTAACTTTATAATAAATAAGGATAGCTCTGTCAGAGTATATTTTTGTTGAATTATATTTGTTAGTCATTTTTATACTTGGATGCCCTTTAAATCCTTTCTCCCTGTTCAGTAAATAAGAGCTGCTTGTCACCATTGAGACACATTTGTATTTTGTGCCCCATCAACTCCTAAATGGAAATTTCAGAGTAGCTTTAGAGTGTTAGATTCTTTACTTAAGAGTTTATTAGTTGACCAAGCAGCCAACATATGATGGTGGTGCAGCATCAGATCTAATGCTTCTGAAGTGCACAGGCTGCTGCCAAAAGACTAGAGCTTTCCCTGCAAAATTTAAACTGAGGAAACACTTCTTAAAATTCCAATACAAGTTAATGTGAGCCATGAATAGATATTTTATAAAAGTTGCCAAAACTGTGGGAAAACTACCCTTAAAATGTTATATATTAAAATTTTCTAGTAGAGTAGAAGTTCTTGCATATTCACAGACAGCTATTTCATAGACTACTTCAGCTATCTGCCAGACTTATCCATAATTATTCATTGCCTTGTGTTATTAACAATTACAAATATTTTATACCATTTCTTATTATCAATGGTTCTAAAGCAATTTACCATACCAAAAACAGACTGGAAATATATTTTTAAGAAAGATATGGCCATAGGGATGAACTAGGAAATGCCAAATGAAAGTTGGAATTTAAAAAATGCTTGAAATACTTCAGCATTTGTACTGCTGCTTGTACAAGTAGGTCTTTAATTATGACCACAATTTTGTAATTATGGTTGTAAGTTGCAATCTGTAACCCAGCCTGAACTGACTGAAAAAGGACCAGGTGATCTGCTTTATCCAGGTCCTTTTCAGCTGTCATGAGCTGCATCTTCCCCCCACCCCCATCAACACTGGCTGGAACAGTCCCTAGAGAAAGGAAGAAAACCAACACAATACAGTGCCAGCCACCCTCAATTCTCAAAGCCAGTCAGAAGGATACTATGATTGATGGTATTGAACAGCTTTTGAGAGGTTAAGAAGAGCCAGCATGGATGCATCAACTGCATCCTTTCCCTCCAGAAGTCATCCATGAGTGCAGTCAATGCCATATCAGTCCCAAACCCTGGTCTGAACCCTGATTGAAAAGGGTATGTATAACCCACCTCATCCAGGGTTCTCTGCGGTTGCCATACAATTACTCTCCACAATCTTCCCCCCAAAAAGTTGGATATGGACAAAAGCTACCCAGACTGCATTTAAATGAGTCCTTTTTGTGAAATCAGAAAGCTCCAAGGGAAAGAAAAAGTTGGGGTAGCTTTGAGCACTGGCTTGGTGAAGAAAGTTTTTTTTCACTAGTTGAATGCAACTAAGGATTTGCAGATCTAGTTTGAGAATGGAATGTTCAGAAAAGAGCTGCCAACATATTGACAGTGTCTGGAGGCTGTTCAGATTTGGATGGGGTAGAAAGACTTCAGCTCAATAATGATGCCAAGTGGCTGTCACTTGGTTCCCTGGAGTCAGTTGTTACCATTGTTTGGCTTGGATGCACTTTACAGTTTATGACTAATGCACAACTTGGAATCTTTCTGGACTTGCAGCTATTACTCAAAGAGCAGATGACAGTTGTGGTCAGGAAGGCCTTTCAACAGGTGCCCCATTGAGACAGTTGCACCTTGCCCTCA